TATCAAGAGAGACTGCCCTAGGTTGTTGAGTGGGATTCCACAACAGAGTTTTCGGCCGATGGAACCAGCACCAGCAGCTGCACCACCCGCTTAGTCAGCTCGGGGTGGGGCACAGTCAGCTAGAGGTCGCCCTAGAGAGGGAGGCCGATCAGGTGGCGGTCAGGCCCGATTCTATGCTCTTCCCGCCAGAGTCGATGCCATTGCTTCACATGCAGTGATCACATGTATTGTCTCAGTTTGCCACAGGGATGCCTCCGTATTATTTGACCCTGGTTCCACTTATTCGTAAGTATCATCGTATTTTGCTTATTATCTGGATATGCCCCGTGAGTCTCTAGTTTTATCTGTTTATGTATTTATGCTAGTGGGAGATACTATTGTTGTGGACCGTGTATATCACTCGTGTGTAGTGACTGTTGGGCGATTGGAGACTAGAGTTGATCTCTTGTTGCTTAGTATTATTGATTTCAATGTGATATTGGGTATGGACTGGTTGTCTTCATGTCATGCTGTTCTGGATTATAACGCTAAGACTGGGTTGCCATGGATTGTAGCACGTGAGTTGTCCGTGACGCTAAGTCCATATATTTATACCATAGCATGTGAGTTGTCCGTGCGGATCTTGATATGATACTATAGCACGTGAGTTGTCCGTGCAACACGTGAGTTGTCCGTGCGGATATAGCGCTTGGGCTCTAGGAGCCCCTCCGGGGTCTGTACACCCCTAGTGAGCCCATGTACCTATTGAGTGCGAGTGTTGAGGGCTGAGTGTCGAGTGATGAGCTATTGAGAAAGTCTGAGTGACTGTTGCCCTGAGAGGCTGTACTTGCTTTCAATATTGTTTCACAAAGCTGTCATATATCACTGTTTGAACTTCTGGGAGATATTATATCCGGTTTTTACTTGAACTTGGATTGTATAAACTGATTTGACTTAAATTATCAGATTTGAAAGCATGCCTACTTTCTTTTGTTGAGACTATTAAAAGTGAACTATAACTGTGTAGCTCGTCACTATCTTCTGTTCTTTATTTAGTCTTGTTACTTGCTGAGTTGGTTGTACTCACTCTATACCATGCACTTCGTGTGCAGATCCAAGTGTTTCTGGACATCGTGGGTGTTGATCTTTCGTACGGTTGACCGTCAGAGACTTCGAGGTAGCTTCCCGGGGTTCTCAGTCCTTGTTTCTCCTTCCTTATCCTTTTCCTTTATTGTATTTTGATCCAGACGTTCATAGATTTTTCTTTTTTCTAGACTGGTGATGTATAGACGCTCATGAGCTCAGTGACACCCCGATTTGGGAGTTGTTTTTCGCATTCGTGTTTTGGGTTTTTACCCCGTTTTATGGAAACTTTGGTTATTTAAAATTACTTGATTCATTTTATGTTAAAATGTTGGAAGTATTTTGGAAATGTCGATTTGCCTAGTACCACGATAGCTGCCATCACGACAGGTTAGGATTTGTTGTTGTTGTTGTTGTTGTTGTTGTTTACTGTTGTTGTTGTTGTTGTTTATTGTTGTTGTTGTTGTTGTTGTTGTTGGCTTAAAATGCCTGTTTAGGAATTTTGGTATGCTGGCAGGTGGTGTAGCTGCCAAAACAGGCTGTTTCTGCCAAAATTATACCAAGAAAAGCGACCAACTTTGGTCACTAGTTGGTCGCTTTTCTCTTTAAAAAAATAATTTTCTGGGCAATAGCGACCAAGGCTGGTCGCTAATTAATCCAGATTTCTCAAAAAGCGACCAACTTTGATCGCTAGCCTACAAAAAAAAATATATTTTCTGGAGAATAGCGACCAACTCTGGTCGCTTATATATAAAAAATAATTAAATTCTTAAAATTAGCGACCAATGTTAGTCGCTTAAGTTTAAAAAAAGATTAAAAAAATTAAAACAATAGCGACCAACTTTGGTCTCCATTTTCTAGATTTTAAAATATAATATTTTCTTTACAGACCAAAGTTGGTCGCTTTATATTGATTAATAATAAATTAAAAAAAAAAAGTAATTTAAGATAAGAGACCAACTTTGGTCGCTAAATTTATATTATTAAAATAATAAAGTGACCAAAGTTGGTCGGTATATTGTTTATCCGGAATATTTAGTCCTTTTACCTTAGAGACCAAAGTTGGTCGCTAATTAGCGACCAACTTTGGTCCCTAAGGTAAAGGGACCAGCATAATATCGACTAGGCCTGTTTGGTCGCTTTTTAACCTGTAAGCGACCAACTTTGGTCGCTTTTTGTGGTCGTTTTTTTCCGGATTTCTAGTAGTGCTAATCTTCACCAAACACCCTCAAAATTGAGATATAAACTCCAAACAATATTCCCAATTGCTTGCAACAACACCCAATCCAAACAAATAATGGTTTTTGAAAACCCAATTCGAATTGAAAACTTAAAAGCTTTTTAATGGCGCTGTCAATGGTGGGGAGTCAACACCTTCAAAATTTATTGATTCAACATGAAAGAAAATTGCTAAGTTAAAACTCTATAGTAAAAGGATTGAAATCCATTGATGAATTCCATTAAAAATATATACAACATGAAAGAATAAAAAGTAGAGAACATCAAAGGAAGACAAATTGGAAAAGAAATGAGAATGACATATATATATATATATATATATATATATATATATAGAGAGAGAGAGAGAGAGAGAGAGAGAGAGAGAAAGAGAGAGAGAAGAGAGAGAGAGAAGAGAGAGAGAGAGAGAGAGAGAGAGGGGACGGGGATGGAAAATAACTGATTCCTTATTTAATTCCTAATATAAAGGGATACTCATTTAAAACTAATTTTTCTATAATTGATAAATTGTATATGGCCATGTAATTAAGTTAAAACTTAATTAGAGAGGGTAATAAAATTTCATATGTAGTATAGGAAGGTAAAATCCCAAAAATAAATGAGATAATTTAGGGCCAACTCCTTGAAAATGCAACTCCTACTTATGAATCTATTGCGGTTTGGACTGCAGTTTGTTAATACTAATCCAATTGGGGAACTCACGAATGGGTAAAAACTTATCCGCACCGGGTGTTTGCACCAAACCAATAGATATATGACATGTGTCTTGCATATGAACTTCAATCATTTAACCATGGTAAATTACATGCATTCTCATCTAATTAAATTAATTAACCATAGTGAGTTGATATAGTTTGGTGTAAACACCGGTGTGGGTAAGTATTTACCCTCACGAATGTGGCATTATTGCAAGGAAGGAACAAATTGGCTCATTTTTTACCAAAGGAATATTCCAAGCAGCCAATAATAGTCTTCCGGCCGCGATTTGTTTGTTAATTCCACTTTTTAATTAGCAGATAGAATAGTAGAAACTTTTGTTAAACCATTTCGGCTAATAACTGCAGCAATTAGGATAAGCTTGAAAACCTTAACTTCTGTGAAGTAGTCTTTGAAATAAATATTTGTATACTCTGTCCGTTTCAATTTAGGTAAGTTAATTTTTTTTTGTCCATTTTAAAAAAATGATCCCTTTCTTAATTTGAAAATAATTTAACTTAAACTTTCAAATTCATTCTTAATGAGATGCTTTTATAGCCACACAAATTTTCTGATATGTTTAACACCACAAGTTTCAAAAGAATTATAGCCATACAAATGTTACGACTTGTTTAGGACCACAAACCTTAAAAGTCTTCAGTTCTTTCTTAAATATTGTGCACAATCAAATAAGTTCACATAAATTAGAACGGAGTAAGTAGTAGTTAATATAAAAATTATTAAAATCCTTCCCTATTCATGGTCCAAGTATTGAAAGTTTGATTGTAGAACTCAATTATATTCCCACCAACCACACACACAATAACTACATGCCCACCAAACTTTTTCCAAAAATATTTTTGGAAGAAAAAGGAATGGTCCATATCAGAAGCGCAGCAAATGTACTAAATGAATATTGAGAGACTTCACAAAAGGTGGTGGGCTCTCCTTTACTACCAGTACCTACTAGCTATTGTACATAATAACAAAGAAAAGAGAAGTTCACAGGCATCACGGATTAGTGCATGTGAATTGTGAAGTACTACATATATCGTTGCACTCGTACGTGTCATTGCATTTGTGCATAGATTACCATAAATGGTGGATGTAATTTATTAGCTACGAGTTAAGCGAATATATTTGACACAGATACAAATAAATGTGTGAAAATCACTGAATTTCAATAAATATTATATGTTTAACATATAATTTCAAAAGTATAATAAATTTAGTGCTATGACTTTAAGGATTGAACCAATAGAATTATATACGGTCGAAATTAGGCTTGTCTACTACACGACAGATCGGGCTCAGAACATGAAGGGTTGGAGATCGACCCCGAGTCCCATCGAACCAGAACACGAGGTCAGAATGTCCGTCCTACACATTGTAAAGTACATTGTAACATGCACTCAGAACCAATATACTGTTATCTTTTAAGCTCTTATTCAATTGTATCTTATCACTGATAAAAGTGCATTCTGTTCAAAGGTGGCTCACCCCTTAAGGCTGTAACTGGTCATCTCGTATGGTTTGAATTTACTTTATCATACTTTATCTCAATTGCAATCTAATGTATTACTTTATGTCAATTTACTCCACGTATACTTAAAACCACTTACAACTTCAATTGTTATCCGATTTGAAGGTAAACAGTTTGGCGCCCACCATGGGGCTAAGGATAATAGTGGTTATATGATACAAATTTCTATAACACATACTACTTTACACTTGTTCTTGAAGTGTCTCTAATTTTAGGTTAAATCTCAAAATGTCAAACTCACAATTAGTACCCCTACCTGCCGACAACAAATTTGATCAAAGACCACACCAATTTTAGACAATACCTAAAAAGCGTGGCCAAATATGTATGTGGAAACGCTTTCTAGGGGGTGGTCTTTTCTAAGACCTTTTGGCTACGACTTTTAGGCAACACTTATAAAGTGTTCCCTTTGGTAGTATGGACTACTTTTTTTAAGTATTGCCAATTTATAAAATAAATAGCAACGATTATTCATATGTAATGCAACACTTTGGGAGCGTGATTGTTAATATTTGTAGAAGCAACTCTAGTCTCTATATAAGCGTGCCCTAAATGTTTTCTAAAAATTCCCGCTATAATTTTCCCCTAAAATTTTTACTGAAAAACTATGCCCTAAAATATTCGCTAAAACCTGTCTCTCATGTTTACTCATAATCAAAGTTGAGGGCTCTTCTCGTATCTTTTAGCAGATTGATTGAAGCAAATTAGAGTGAGTTCAATTAAATCTATTGGGTTATGTGGAAATCGCTTACGGAGATGCTAAACTTTGTCTCGGTTATGTGCCATCCGATTCAATTGGGAATCTCATTGTTTAGGGTTTACTATCGTTTCTCAAAACTTGGATAAGATGACTGCTACTTTTGAAATTAAGCTCTATTATTTTGTGATGAGAGGTTATTATTCTTGAAAGGTGAATGCTCTTCTTCTTTCATACAGTATTTGCCCTTTAGAGCAGGTTGAAATAATTGGGGATTTCATTGTTTAGGGCTTACAGCCGCATCCAAAAACTTGGGTAAGACGACTGCTAATTTTGAAGTTAAGCTCTATTAATTCGTGATGAATGTTATTATTCTTGAAAGGTGAATACTCTCTTTTTTCATACGACTATCACTTACAAGATCATATTTTTTATCTTTCATTTTTCGCTTTAGAAACCTGTGAATATGACAGTTTTGTTAGATGATGAGTACATATTATTTTTATGCGTATTCGAAGGTTGACGACGTCTGCATTTTTGTGCATATTCTTTAGGTGGTGGAAGTAATTTATTGTTGATTGAGGATTATTCATCTGATACACTCGTCTATTGAGGTAAAGTGTAACTATTAATATCCACTTCCAGTGTGTTGTTGTTCAATACCAAAAAATGATTCATTTCCAATGGATTATTATCAATCAACTATTTATCAGTTGCAAGGGACAAAGGTCACGATGTAGATGTACGTATGTATGCGGAGGATTGTTGCTTAGTTGTTAATATCCTTGATGTTTAAAAAAAGAAGAAAAATTAAGATTAGCAACTTCTTACCGCCTAATCTGTTCTTTTGATAGAAATTCTTTATAGCTCTTGCTTCTTAGTATCCCGGTATTGAGGTTTATTTAGCTTTGGTTAAAGCTAATAGTGTGCATGATCCAATTGAATTTTGGGCTTGAAATGACTATGATATTTTATGGATATGTTGAAAGCATGCTTTGAGTTGTTATTACAGTGTTCTTTGTGTGTTTTGGGGAGTATATATGCTAAAATATTTGAAGATTTAGTTAGGTCCTATGCTTGTTTAACTCGGTTTAAAGAATCTGTTGGGTTAGAATATAATAATAAGCATGTTCCAGTATATTTGTTTAAACCAATTTGCCACCCACATTAGAAACTTTATCGTCTATTGTATCAAGTTATAATATTGAATTTCTTCAAAGTTAATTATTTACAAAAAGCTCATTAAAAGAGGGGAAAAACACACACATAGGAGAAAAATGAAGTAACAAAATAATTTCTCTGGAAGAAATAGTTGATTCTTCACGTACTCTTGCAAAAATTTGTACCTGCTTTCTTATTGTTTAGAAAAAATGCCAATTTAAACTGGTTAGTTTATCCATGGACCCTTTTTTTTCTATTTCATTGTTGTTTTACCATTATGTCTAGGAGAATTTCAAGCATGTTGCTAGTCTATCACATTCGCTTTTTAAGTACATACTCATTTATGGGGATTTCTTTGCTTGGTCAGTGAATCTTGTTAATGATCTTGGTGTAAAATTATCAAGAGGCTAGATAAATGTATAGATGGATAACTGTCCACTTTGAGCTGATCTTTGAACTTAATCAGTTGTTGTAGTTGTTTTCCTGTTAAATAGTGAAAATCTTCAGACTTCTAGCAGTTTTAACTCCCCAAGGGATACAAGGCGACTCAAGGTTCAAGGCTCCGATCGTTCATGCACTTTCGTAGAGGTAATCTCAACTAATAAATCCTAAAAGCTTTTCCTTTTCTGTGTTCTGGCGACTTCTATTGTCCATATATTTTGTTACTTGAATCATTCTAACATAAGATTACATTTTGATCTCGTAACATTTATAGATTTTTTCTCTATTATTATAATTTGTTTTGGGTCTTTTGTATATGTATATCTCATACATATTGAACAATTTTGGCATCTTATGAATGCACTGCCATTATTATTTGAAAGTAGTGAGTTCATCCTTCATACTAACTCACATGTGAAACTTGATAATCTTGTGGGAGGGTTAGTTGATAGCGAATAGTGTATGGGTTGTGAGGCCAACATCTTCTATATTCCTCGAGATCAATCATGATCTGATTCTTGAAAAGGTATTTTTTGATTGTTTTGGTTATCGTGGCATGCTCCACCTATTTTAGGTCAATTTTGGATAGTGTAGGAGCTATGTTGCTCGGACTCTCCGAAAATATTATCGGGTGCGTGTCAGATCCGCCAAAAGTAGTGCATTGTTGGAGGATCCGACACGTGAGCGGCATCATTTTGGAGAGTCCGCACAACATAGTGTAGGAGCACATTTGACTCTTCTTTCTATTTGAGTAAAGGGTTAGACATCATTTGTTTAGAATTACATTGACAAGTGCCTAGAATATAGTCTAAAATTCTGAACAGATTGGTAGCTAGGGAAAACATGTAAAATAACATGTAGTAGTATTATTATCAGCTAACATTGAGATTGGAAAATGATTTAAGTAGAATTATGAAGATGTAAGCCAACCAGTAATGTAAGAATGACTAAATTTTTATTTTAAGATAAGTGATCAAAGTTATTTAACAAAAAAAAACTAATCGGGTTGAGCTGGGATATAAAAAGTAAGTTGAATTGAATATAGATGATTAACTAATTGACAATGCAAAAGTACAAAGGAAAGCTGATTATGAAGCAAAAATATAACTGGTGGGAATGCTGATGAATATTTAGTAGTATAGCCTATCCCTGCTAGTTTGGGTTAGGCTTAACCCTTAGTGGTCGTTTGATATGAGGTATTAGGTGGGATAAGAGTTGGGATTAAATTTGTACCTTGTACCCGAGGATAAATTTGTACCTCTAACCAAACAAGGTATAAACATAATCTCAAATCTTATCCCACTTATCCCATCTTATCCCACTTTATAGTTTATACCATCAATTATGGGATTATATTATTCCATCTTTTATGTGGTATAAATTAGTATCGGGATTATAATCCCGGTAATATTTTGTCCACGTACCAAACGACCCCTTATATTTTTAGCAGATATCTGGTCTTAGGATACTGTTTGGTATTTAAGTTTTTGAGGGAACTCTGCTATGTTAGGAAACTCTGCTGTTGCGCTAAGTCTGCACTTCCACACTTTTGATTTCTATCTGATTAATAATTTTATTTTGCATATGTAGGAAAGTTCTGGCGAGCAATTGGAAATGGTGGCCAAAGACAATTTCATCTATGGGAATTTAATGATGACTTTGGACAATTAAATTTTTTGTATTCACGATACTATAGTATTTCGTTTGGATTTGTAAAGTTGAAATACTAGCATGGCCCTTGAAACAATTTGCTTTATACATTAATGCAGTACACGAGATTTACTCCATTTTGAATTATTCTTTTGTTATCTTCTTGTTAATTGAGTGCTTGAGATTTTCAAACTTAAAATGTGATTATAGGATATGTACAATAATAATTTATTAACCACAAAAGCATGGCTTGTACAAATAAACATATATTTTATAGCTTAGAAAAAAATTACCATACTTCAAAAATTTGGCTATAGGGATTGAAAATTTTATGACCGATAACAGCAAAAGCTACACTTGAAAGGCGTAGTGTAAAGAGTAACTAAAGCCACACTTTTAATGTTTTGCATAGTACCCGAAAAGCGTAACCTGATGAGCGTGGCCTTTATTTGTCTTTAAGTCAAGCGTGGCTTCTAAAGCAACATTTCCAAAGCGTTGTTTTAGGTCAAAGGTTACGCTCCTTTAAGCTACCCCTCGAAAAGCTTTGCCGTAGACCGAAAAGTGTGGCCTTTTATTAAAGGTCACACTTTCTGATTGTTTAGGCCACACTTTTCAGGCGTGGTTAAAGGCCTAAAATGTTGTAGTATCTGGTCACCACAGTGATAATAACAACATAGCGCCCGGTAATGAGGTACCGCCCGTTGATCCCATTAGAATTTCAATCGCGGACCCATTGGATGCTAACTCGCATGTGGCTATCGACACAAATCTGCCTACCGACCCCGAGAATAGCATCCGTGGTGGAGCTCGATCAACAACGCAAAATACTCAAAACAATGGAGAAGACGGTATCAATTTACGAATGATCTTCGAAATATTACAAGATCAGCAGGCGGCAATAGCTTAGTTACAGAACAAATGCCGCGCACCGAGCAGAATTGAGCCCGATCCGTCCCGGGAAATCGCCCGTAGGAACGAACCAGTCACAGAGAGATCGAATGAAAACAAGTCGGAGACCAACCCTGAGATGATCGAAATGCTCGAGGAGCTAACAAAAAGGATAGAATCAGGGGACAAGAAAATTAAAGCAAATGACAAAAAGGTAGAAACCTACAATTTCAAGGTCGACTAAATTCCGGGAGCATCGCCGATACTAAAAGGCCTGGATTCCAAGAAGTTCGTACAAAAACCTTTCCCTCCGAGTGCTGCTCCAAAACCGATCCCAAAAAAATTTCTCATGCCCGAGATTCCTAAATACAATGGAACGACCGACCCAAACGAGCATGTTACGTCCTACACATGTGCCATCAAAGGGAACGACTTAGAGGATGATGAGATCGAGTCTGCCCTGTTAAAGAAATTCGGGGAGACCTTGTCGAAATGAGCTATGATATGTGTTTACCGTGAAAATGGTAACAACAATTAAATTTGTAAATGTGATTCTATAAATACGTGATCTATTCCCGAGCTATTGTTAAAGCAGTTAGTGCTAAGAACGTGAAGTATAATGATGAAAAGCGAGTTAAAATGAGGCAGTAACCAAACCAAAGGGGGTCTGTTGCCCGGATGCAAAGTCAGTCGACGGGGACCTCGGGGACGAGGTTCGAGCCGAGCTCAAGCTATCGAGGTCAATCGGGAATGGGATAACAGGCGGAAGTATGGCTAAGCAAAACTCTATGTTACCAATATTGGGCAAAGTAGTGAAGAACAAATAAGAAAATGATAAAATACTAAGGCGACCTCGGGCCCGTGAGAATGAACAATTTAGAAGAAAGAGTGAGAGAGAGAGATATCATTGCACTTGTGGAGAAATGGAGCAACATCAATCCCTTATAAAGTGGGATGAGTCCCCCTTATATAGGCGAGGGGACTCGGTATAGTACAAGATGCATTAAACGTAAAGATACGGGGATGGGATGGCTAGACAAGACACTAGAGCCTATTGATTCTAGCTGCTTGCCTCGGGAGTCCCTCATCTTTGTAACCTCTGCTGGGTCGCGGACAGATCCCTTAACCTCCGAGCCACTGCAGGGCCGCGGATGATACTCGAGACAGGGAGCCTGATCATGATCTCATAGCCTCGATATGCTGTTAGGACATTCCAAACATACCTTAATGGCGGGAAATGGATTCCCCCGATTTTACCGCACACAGATAGTCTCCGCGCTTCCTAGATCGAAGTGATAGGAAATGATATTGAATCGTCATCTCGAGGCCATTATTACTATGACGCCATCTATCCAAGAGCATTAAATACCATATCCCAGGGAACCGTGCAGGGTCGCCGTCAAATGCGATAATCGAGGAACCCACGAACTGCCGCAGGTTCGTCTCTTCTGTTTCCTCAATGATTCCTATAAATGCTCCGGTCTCTAGGTGCTCCTCATCTTCGCCCTTCCTTCAGGCTCGTAAATCAGAATTTCTGCTATTTGATACCTTTACATCTTTCCCTCTCTTTTCGGAAAGGTTTTACCATTTTTCATGGCTAGGACTTCTAGGACGGTCCCTCGACGGAATGATACCACGTCGTCATCCGGAATGACTGAGGGGGAAACAAATCGGTTCCTACTTTAGAGCAATGGATCCCTCCCGACATTGACACGTCGAGAGATTTCGATATCGAGACTCCCTCGTCTACGCCGGGTCGATGTGAGCACGTATCTCGATATGTTAGCATCGTGACCGATGCCGGCAAAGTGAAGGAGGACTGCCGATGGAGTGAAGCAGTGGAGGTAGAAATTCCTGACCCCAGCAACAACATTACCGGCTTCAAGGATGGCTTTCTTTACATATACACCTACCCATTTACCCTGGGTCCTGACAAATCTGTCGAATCTCCTCCTTTGGAAATCGATCCGATTATCCTCGACTTCTGCGCTCAATATCGGGTGACCCTCGGACAGATCTACCTGTCCTTTTGGAGAATAGTGTTGATGCTCAGGCACTTTACCGAAGGGGTTACAAGCGAAGTTTTTACCCTCAGCCATTTGATCAGATTGTACCGCCCTCGGCTGTATCGAGGCTTAATCAAGCTTCGACATCGGTCCAAAAAATCTTTCTTCACAAGTATTGATGAGGGGAAGGACCGGGGATGGATGAGAAGATTTATTCGAGTGAGAACCTCGGATATCATCCGGGCCCGGAGGATGCCCTTTCCCGAGCGATGGAACGATCGACGTAAGTGAATTTCCCTTTAGCCGTTTCTCAATTATTCTTTTTTTTGACGTGATAACCCCTTTGTGCTCTCTCCAGCCGCTGCTTGGCCCCCCGAGGTGGTCCCAGATTTGGCGGGATGGATCAAGCGTTTGGATAAAAGGTTCCCGTATCGTCTCCGGTCCTGGACCATCATGGCTAAGAAGCGTTGGGTGGCTAAGAATCACGGTGAGGTTTCTTTACCGCTCGTGCCCCGCATTTTGTGTTCCCTTCCGAACTCTAAGCAACGGCGTATCGCATTTATTATGCTGGTGTAGGCCTTGGAGAGAATATGCAGATGAGGCCACCCCCCGATGATGAAGCGGAGGCCTTGGGGCCCGATACGAACAAGAAAAGGAAAGTCAAGGCGGCCACTGCTCGCCATGATGAAACTGCTGTTCTAACCTCCGGGCTGAACCGTGATGTTGAGGGGAGGATGATGATGGCAGTCCGTTGAGGAGGAGAGCGAGGTCCAGCGAGAGGGATTTACAGGTTCCCCAGTCGGAGGCTGCTGAGTCTGGGACGGCTGGGTCCGGCTGGGTCCGGCAGGGTAAGGAGCCGGAGGTTCTCGAAGAGGACGTCTATGTGCCTTCGAATCGTGCGGCCAGATTCGATGTAGCTTCTGCTAGCAGGACTATCGGTCCTGATGGGTCGGAGTTCGGGGCCTTCCAAGAACATGGATCGCTCTTCGAAGAAATCGGCGACCCGAACGATCTTATTCAGAACTATCCAGTCTCATCAGGAGAGCTGAGAGATGCCGAAAGGATGATTGGTGCCACGGTTGGTACTCCTTTCAGAGGGGGAGGCTTCATTGCCAACATTCTTGATGGCGTAATCGACGGAGCTGATCTCGAAGTCTCTGGCGCCGTCGAAGCAGTGGAGAAGTCCTTGCAGCAGGTGATGATTTTTCCTTGCGCATTTCTTTTCGCTCTCGGGCATTATTCGTCATCTCTCTTAACTTTCTCATTGTGCCGTAGTGTAAAGAGATGTATGATCATGTCATCCTCTGGCTTCGTGGGGAACTTTCATGCCATGAGAAGGAGCGTAATACCATTGCTTCAAAACTGCAAGACTCGGAGGCTCGGGGTGCCCGGGGAGATAAAGAATTGAGAGAGCTTCGGGCCTCTTTGGAGGCGGCGCTTCGGGAGAAGGCCGCTCTTGCTGCTCAGGTATTCTGCCTCGCTCATACCTGCTCATTTGCTCAATATCCATATGTGTTCTGTATTCACATATTCATCGTCTTGCCTCTCATTGAAGGTCGAGCAAAGCAGCTCGCGGATCAATGAATTGGAAGTGGAGGTCTACGGGCTGAGGGAACGGAGCGAGACAGTGACCGGGGAATTGGCAACATCCCGGGGCCTTCTCTCGGACACCCGCAGGGAGATTGCTGCTTTGGCCGCGGCTAAGCTTGAGGCCGAACGAGATGCTGCTGCTTATAAGGAGGATGCGGCCACGGCGCATGCGATGGCTTGTGACATATCCCTGGCGGCTGAGCAGAAGATGGTCCGAGCTGTCGAACATGCCAAAGCGAAGGGGAAGGAGGAGGTCCTGGAAGAACTCAAGGCCAGGGGCTTCGAGCTATCTGCTGACTTGGAGGAGGCTCGCGTGACGGAGGGAAGACTGGCGCTTTTGATTGCCCCCGATGGGGGTGAAGATGATAGTGGCGAGGAGTAGTCTCCGAGCCCTTTTTTGTATGCCTTCTTTTTGTTCCATGTGTTCTCCCTTCTAGGAGATGAATAGTGCAAAGGTGTTTTTTTATTTTGTCAATATATGAAAGGAGCTTTTATTCTGGTAGTCCTTCTTGCTTCAGAGCATCGAGCATCGGGCCTTTGGAGCCCTTTTGTAGGTTGGACCCGTGGTCCCAAGACTAGCCATGTACCGAGGTTGAGTCGATAGCTCCTCCGAGCCGACGTTAGGGATATCTCGATGTCCCTTGATTTTATGA